TGTGATGGACGTCCAGTCTGTTGGTTTGGAGAGGACTGAGGGGCTTTCCTCTGTGAGGAGGATCAGACCTGATGGAGGAGCCCATGCATAGCTGATACCACCTGATCAGGCCTTGTCTGTCACTTTATTTGACTAAATGTGTTTACTTATACATTTAATAGGTTTACACCTTCTGTCCATATGTGCTTTTTTATTTAAAACATGTTTGATTAACTTTTGGTTCAGATTTCAATAAATTGAATTTGTATTTGCACTCCTTTTGTCCATTATTCTTACTGAAAATGTTAGATTACACATTCACATCCGACTGAAGATTGGCCCCATTTATTTGCGTTGCAAACTCTGCGGTACAAGGTACATGTTGTGAAGCTCATAAAGTGAGGCAAATAGAATTAATCAGCTGATGGAGTGTAGATGTGGAAATAGGTGCATTCGATCAGCTGACTTCACAATAAAAGTAGTTTCTTAGTGAATGTCCTGTACTGGTCTTAAAATCTCATAACATCAGCTTTTAATTTTCCTCTTGGATGTTCTTCTTGACCCTCAGAGAAGGAGAAAATGTTGAGTCGTGTCTTTCAGGCATGTCCTTTCCTAACAAAAATTACAGGAAACATAAAACATATTATTGCAGAACAAGTGTGTTATTATGAAAGAGGTGTGCTTGTGTTTAGGGGCTGTAGATATAATTATTTTGTAATTGTAATGTTTTATTTTATTTCAACAGTGAGCTACAAAGACAATCAGATTATGAATGAACAGTATGAAATTCATCAACATTGAAATATATTTTATTATCAAAATAATATTGAACTGTTATCAAAACTTAGTGCAACTGTAGAAGCTTGCTCTGTTCTCTCACTGAAATCATAACTTTTACCACGTTTTTTACAGACAATATTGAGAGATAAATAGCAGTTGTCACTATGCGTTAAATAGCTTTGCCTTCAATACCTTAAATTAGAAAGCTGACAGTCATATTGCTTGTTAACATCTAAATGTAACCCTTTGCATGGAAAAAACCCTCAACTTCACTGATGTGTAGGTGATCTAGTATTTAGTATTGTTTAATGGAATGTATATCAGTGTATTAAAGTCAATACTTCATTTATTTAAACCAATATCTTTCTTGATTCTTTGTACAGTATGAAAAAAGAGTATTTGTACCTGTGCTGAAGTTCACTGCTGTCAGGAGTCCAGTTCTGTCTCTCACTCTCTGGTCCATCCTGTCTGCATCACCTGGAAACTTTAAACAAACAGATATATATGTAAAGAACCATGTGTACAAACAATATAACTTATTCTCTTCTGTTGAACATGTTGGATTGTGTATTGTCCGAGTCAGGGTTCTTTTTATTTTACTGTAACTTTGGAAGTTGTGTTACCAATGCTGTTGTGTTACTGTTTATTTGATACCAATTTGGTAATGCAATTAATAAAAACAACAACGTTTGGGTTCGTTCTTCAGATGACTGTGACGTTAACGTGTAAACTCAATAATGAACTCCAGCTCAACCAACCATATTGTAATATCTAAGTAATCATCTTGAAAATATGACATTAATAATTGTAATATGCACACATCTTATTGTGAGGTTGATTTCACATACACTACTTCGACGTTAGCTTGTCTACATACTTGAGCATAGCTACCACTCGCTTACACGCAAACCCAAGCCTTAACATTCATTACGTATCATAAACACATAAATAAAGTACTCGAATTTCACTTACCGCAAAACGGCATTCATGCACCGTCTGTTTTAACCGCAGAGCGAGTCACAATAGTCCGATATATAAGCATGAAGAACAAACAAACACGGCCGGGATCAAGTTGTGTTCCCTGGATGAACTGGGCAGGCAGAGTCCCTGTAGCTTCACGGACGGAGCAGCTAGCAGAGAGACAAAAAGCTAACAGCAGCAGTCACCTGACAGAGCTGTCACTCAATGTGACCACGCCCTAATTTATGCAAAAACTTTAAGACCTAATATAAATAAAAGGGTCGCGTTAGAAAACAATTCACTCACAGATTCATAATCACGAAGGTGGAATCTAACTATATACATAATAAAATGTATTGGAGCCAGGGCTAGAAACGTTTTTTTTCTGCTGTGAAAATGGGCATTTTAACATTGGGGTCTATGGAAATTGCTCCTTTCTGCAGTCATCGCCTATCGGCCAATATATGAACTGCAGTTTGTGGCACTTCCGTATTGGCGTCCCGGCTCTTCCCCTGAGTTTGCCGCTTGTGGAGGACCCATCAGTGTATCCTCGGTTATAGCTCCTCCAGAGAGCCTCCTCGACGCTCGATGCTCGGTCCTCATCTCACTCTTTATGTTATTTCTGATGTGTAAAATAATAAGTAGAAATGCTAAGTATTTTACACAAAACAAGTTCAGTCCATCAAGCATAAAGGTCAGTAACTGTAGTTATATAGGCAATAAGACACATATAATTATTATAATAAGTTTGCAAAAAGCAAGTTTTTTTTTACTAGACTATCGATAAACCCTATTTAGTTTATAAGGATCCATTCCCTTAAGTTAGTTGCATAATGTTTTGGGTTTTGCATGACAATTACCTATTTTTATTTATAATTTTTTACATGTATTTTCTTTGGGATGTTGATGCATTAAAAAACGTATTTACAAGTATAGTTCACCCAGTTTTACATAGTTAGTAACATTTAGCAATAACAAACAGAACCCAATCCTCCAAATAATCCAACCTGAGGGCTGAGTTTAAATAAATGAAAAACAACAGCCAAGAAGTTACAGTTTTTTTCGATTGCTAACACACATTTATTTTTTAATTGCTCAGTTTCTCAGAACGCTAAACACAATTCACAAAACCACACACCCAAAGTGCAAAACACCTAATTTCTCCTGCTAAATGAAGAACTGCACTCAAAACTACATAAACACTTACCAAATGCAAACTTTTGCACCAAATATAACACACTTCATTCATAATACTAGATTGTTTGACCACCCAACTATACACACTGCTGAGCATAATCTAAAGCACGTTCATCTTTTATGGGCTATGCTCTGTACATAGAGGTTTCTGCAGAGAAAGATTGCTTGAGTTTACAGAAATACAGTAAATGAAGAAATACAAATGAGTTGTTGAAAAAAATCATATTTTATTCAAAAATAACATTGTGCAACATGCATCTCAGCACATAGTTACTATGCTTCGGATCTCTCTAAGTGTGATGGCATTGTTTGCCAAAACCAAGTTTGTAACTGCTGCTTCCTGTGCCTCATTGAAAATCCTTAGCTTTCCACCTGCACCTCTTTTTTTCTCAGTCCTTCAGATAAACAACAAAGATATAGTGGTTGGTCAGTGTCTGTGTTGCATAAAAGTAAGTTTACCACAGTAAATTGTGCAGGATTTGTGTACAGTTATAGTATGCAACATGCCAACAATTCAATTACAGTAATGAAGTAAATACGTTTCACACAACAGATATAAGCACTGATAGGCTAAATCATGAATTATGCAGAGCTAAAAACGGGTAACTAACCTGTTTTCAAGTTGAAAACGCATACTGTGCATAAACGCAAACGTTCCCGTGTGCACAACGCCTAAGTGTCCGGATTACAGAGGCAACAGTACATCGGCTTAGATTAGGCTGAACCCTCTGTCCAGCCTCTCTCATCGTCAAACCATGGTTGATAACATTTAATTTCATTAGAGAGTATTCTTCTTTATCAACGTCCTATCCCTCTAGCTCTACCTCTACCTCTCATTCTTCCTCCTCTCACTCTCGCCCACCTCTTCCTCCTCCTCTCACTCTCACCTACCTCTTCCTCCTCCTCTCACTCTCAGCCCAGCTCTTCCTCTTCCTCTTGCTTCCATGTTGGCTTCCATTGTTGCTGTAAGAAAGTACTCACCTGTGGTCTTTTTATAGTGCTAACATCTTGATTGATGAGCCAACAATTATGCTATCAGGTGTTTGGTCAGGTGGAACGTGTTTCTTGATCACTGGTCCATGTGTGAGGCATTTTGAATATCAGTGTTTTAAACCAGCTAACACGTGACTTTATGTCAGATTCCTGTGTCTTACGTGGAGAAACGTGTGCAGTGGTTTGCAAAAAGTGCCATGTTGATCTGCAAATTGTGTGAAAAGCTGAAAACGTGTTTAGATTTTTGGAGATTTGAGCCGATGTTTTGCTCTTTGAGTGTCAGTTAAAATAATTGTGCTTCATGTATAATTTTAGTGTGTTAGCAATCGAGAAAAACTGTAAAATAAAAAATAAAATAGTACAATAATAATAATAAAGAATAAACAAATGCCATCATAATAGCAGTGTATTAGTAGCAGTGCTAACAATGATGAGAGTATCACAGCTATTACTTCATTATAGGCAAAAAACTAAAAGAGTGTAAGTTAAGGAAACAGTGTGTGTGTGTGTGTGTGTGTGTGTGTGTGTGTGTGTGTGTGTGTGTGTGTGTGTGTGTGTGTGTGTGTGTGTGTGTGTGTGTGTGTGTGTGTGTGTGTGTGTGTGTGTGTGTGTGTGTGTGTGTGTGTGTGTGTGTGTGTGTGTGTGTGTGTGTGTGAGTTACAGATGGAGCTATATGGCTGGTGCACCTCTAAGCGTATCAAAATTGTTTTATTGTTCCCTTTTTTTATTTATTAATATTAACATTACATATATGATTTACCATGTAGAAAAGGTGTTGATCTACATAGGTTTACACTGTTACAGTATATGCCCTCACTATTTCCCCCATTTGATTATGAATTCTCAAATGAATGGAATATTTCACAGCAAATCAAATGTTCACACAACAAAATGCATTAAAAATAAATATCTGAAAAATACAAAATGTATATTAATTATTTTGAAGTTATTCATGTATGTTTATGATCCAATGAACCAATAAGTTATTTGAGCTGTTATCTGGTTTAAAGTAATGTGTTGTAGGTCCACAAGAAGACAAATAAAGGAAGAACAAACAAAATAATCAGCTTTATTATAACCAAAATAATTTTGCAAAGTGACTTACAAAGAAGAGAACAATAGCAAATAAAAGATTACAAAACCAGACGTTTTAAAATATCATATCAACTCGTCGAAACACAACAACTACAAAACGTAGAAATCAAAGGAAATGTTGAAGTTTAAAACACCACTACTTTTATTTAAAAAAATAAACAGGTGCATGGACACAAACTAAATAAAGGTGATCTATATCAAAGAAGTTGCTCATTCACATGCTATCTGCGGTTTGAGCAATTTCCCATTGTACAGTATGACACTGAAGAGGCTTTTATATATTTTTTGATACAATACGGAATATATAAGTACCATGTTATCAGGCGGTTGGTTGTTGGCTTTTGATGATTTTAATCTCCTTGTTTTAGCAGTATGGTGGGCTGTGGAAAAAGAGAATCACCATTTTTAGTAACATTTAATCTTGTTAATCTGACAGTATGCGGTTTGCAGTGTTTGAAAAATGACATACCAGCGTGTTGAAATGTTGTCTGCATACAGCATGACTCAACCAGTAGATCAAGAAGAGGGATGTTAACATTTCAACGCCCAGCAGAGTCAAAATCAGTCCCTTGATGCCTTGATAGAGCTGTATAAAGAAAGTTGATTCAGAGATGGAAGTTAGTACACATCTGCCTTGTATTTCAGAGAGGTTACTTACAAAATATGAATGTTGTTTCCCTTACATTTTCATTCCCATTCTCATCGTGTGTGCCAGACCAAAAATGAAAAGTAACACTGCAGAGAACAACTGCCGCAATAGACCAGAAGAAGCTGACGATGTTCAGGGAGAACGACAGCTTTGTCTAGAAGACAAACAAATGCTTTAATAATGTAGGTGTTACAGAAAATAATGAGGAACAAAACATTTAATAAATAAAAAGGCCGAATCAGACCAGCTGTACATTTTTTCAAACACAGAATTACAAAACACGTTCCTAAAATCCAAATTTGTCAGTAACAATTGTTCACTTATTGTTGCAGGAAACAACAAAAAACGTTTACAAATCATATTCGTATTGAATGCCACACATAATTAAACCTTTTTTCCATTTTTCATCCACTTCTACAAAGAAAATCCTTTGGAATTCATGTTTTCAAAGGCAATCTGCAGGGCCATATTTCGTATTTAAAAGATACAAATGTGGGTTTGGATTAACAAACCTACATTTAACTGAAATAAATCCTGTTTAACTTGTTTACAAAAATAAAGCAAATAAAGCAAAAGTTTGGACAAAACACGTCAGAAACATCCTAAAGAAACATTACAAATATATATCTAGAATATTGCACCCGCTCTATTTAATTTTTAGAGGATAATTCAACGATTGGAGTGGATTTTTCACTTAATACTTATTCAAAACTTACCACTTGCATGTTTGGAAAGTGTCCAGCTGCATAGGACAGCATACCACAGACCAAAAACTAAGATATTGATGAAAAATGCAAATTATTATACACAAAATATACTATTGAATAATGTGGACAGATTACTAGAAAAAATAAGAAACGATAAGAACAATTGTTATTTTATATATATATTATTATTTAGGGGGGAAGTTAAAATGTGGTAGAAAGCAAGAGGAAGTACAAGAACATCTGCAGTTATATACTGTCCTCTTTGAACGATTGAGTAGACAGCAAAGGAAACGTTTTTATTTGTATTATTTAATTAATCTAAAGTTGTAAGGTACATATCGTAGTGAATTGGGAATAATTGTAGTTTTGCAATTGTATTTACCAGAACACTTGGTAGGGTGTAGGGCATGGTAAAGCTTTCTTGGTAAATCAACCCGAGTGCGAGAATGAACACACCAGCGATGGCCTGGGCTGCCTGACAAAAAAACAACACAATACTGCATTACAATCCTGCATGTTTTGTGTTTAGGTTGAAATGTGAATATAAAACTATGAAATCTTTTGTGATCAAGACTTCCTGTTTAAAACAATTCTACTTACCCCAAGAGGTTTAGGTTTCCCTTTCACAACAAAGACCTTGAAGTGATCTTTGTACACACAGTGAAATTTCTCCGGCATCAGTTGCCCCTCTCTGGCGTCCCTCAGACTCCCGATGGGAATGGTGATGATCATGGACTCATCGCATTGAAATGTCTTCTTCATTGTCCTGTAGACAAGATCAAAGCAACACATGTCAAAACTGTTTTTGTCACTGTGGTGACCTGCATTAGAGGTTTTCAGTAACTTACCTTTTTTTCTCCCTTCTCTTATCTTGATTCAGACCTGAATTCTCTGCTTTCTCAAATAAGTTTGACAAGGAAATGGCCTGCCACGCCGATTGTCTGTGGCTCTCACTCTGTTCTGTTTTCTCTCTTTCTCACTCACACACGCACATTCTCTCACACACACACACACACACACACACACACACACACACACACACACACACACACACACACACACACACACACACACACACACACACACACTGTTCGCGTGCATGATTTGACAAGCATTTAAAACAGTCAAAGCTGGATAATTTGACTTATGTATGTTCTTTAATGTATAGAAAAGGGAAATACTCTTCCATTAAATTACAGCTTATGGCGCTGAGGTACTAAAGGGCAGACAAATAGGAAATTGGTGAGACCTGTCTCTGTCAGAGCGAGGAAGTCAAGGCGTGAGGTGACCTCATCTTTCAAAGTATTTGCAGGGAAGTGAAAATCAAGCTTAAACAGAGAGGCACAGACAGAGAGCGTCACATAGCTACTTCTAAAGCCACACTTGGTAAGTTCTTCATTTTTAGTCTTCTTTTTAAAGGCTTTTCTATAGATCGGATGTTTTTGTGAAATTTAAACTGTTAACATTAAAAATCTGCTATTATTCTGCAAGTATTTGAGTATAGGATTTTTGGGAGCTGCAAAAGCCCTACAATAGATGCTACCTATATAGTTATAATATAAATACTACCTTTTTTATATTGTTGCTGTAATTTACTCCTTTAATTGTTTGGCTGTTGAGTTCCATGACTTATTTAAAGCTGTAATGTGTGGTGATGATTCATTGGAATATATTTTAGTGAAATATATCCCTAATATTATGACATCTAAAATCAATTTAATAAAGAAAGATATTACAATTTGAACGATCAGGTAATACAACAACAACATCATCACCTCACAGTGTCAGCAACCGTTATAAATCTCACATTTTTACAATTTATCACATGACCGTAGTATGGCCTTAATGTAAAGTTGTTACTATTCTTTTGGTCTCGTTGTGTCCTTTTTAAAGCTACTCTATTGTCGGTCGCATAAAGGAGGCTGTATTCACAGAAAATATGAATGAACACATAATGATTTTGGATTAATTATATTACTAGACACAAAAAACCTTCCTCCCTCCAGGTCAGATAGCACCATGGCCTGTGCCGATGTGGACATGGACATCGATGAGAATGAAGGGACCCCAGGCAGACACCCGAGAGAGCCGCCGATGGTGCGAAAGTACCAAGCTTTAGAGCTCCTACCGGACAACAAAGGGCCGCTGCATGACCTGCTGCAGAAAAAACCTGGCGTTTTGGGGGTAGGACTGAACAAATAAAAGATACAATGCCTATACAAATCCTTTGAGAATGCAATACTCTTTAACTGTTTTTGAGATTGTGTCAGAGAGGTGTTGACTAAACTTCTTGTGGCATTACTGGTGTTGTATACTTTGTTTTACTAACCCTTATTAATGTAGGAATTTGATGGTATTGTATCCATTGACCCCCTTTTTATTTTAACTGTATGTCTAAGACCGAAGACCCTAAACAGGATCACGTGTTTGTTTGAATGGCGCTGACAGCATGCAGCAAATGATTGGATTAAACACTTGTCCGTTTAAAAAACTGCATGTAAGCGTACATTTTGCTGGCATTCTTTTTGCAACCGTTATTTTTGTAACCTTGTATTAGAACCTGTATAGCTGCAAAAAGTGACTCATGGGCAATTTACGGAAGGTACTAAAAAAGGTCGATTTTTTGAAAAATGTTCTTGTGTCTTCACTTAGAAAGATATGAAACATGACTTGCGTCAACATGGTTTTGAGGTCTTTACAGTAAACATTGAAGTGTGTGGGAAAATGTTCTGTACAGTCATAGAAAAAAAGGAAGATGGTGTATTAATCCTTTATATGCAAAGTCCAAGCGTTAGTGATCACAATCTTTTTCTCAGTTGTCCCCGTGACTGTGTTTTCATGTTTTAAAAATGTATCAACGTTTATAAAAACAGTTCATGAAAGACATCACAAACAGATAACAGTTTCAGTTAAAGAGGATGTCCAAAATACTTTGTACCCATTGTGCAGGTTTGGCCAGCAACAACAGGAAATGCTGGGTGGAGGGTTTTGTGGTCTTCTACATCTTGAGTGTTAAAGCTCACATTATTCTACCTTTATAGTACTGTGAATATGTGTCCAATAGTTTTAACGGGCGCTGCAAATAAGATTGTTTATATGATGATTTAGATAAAATATATATCTTTTGGGAACCATTTTCTGATTACTTTCTGTGTTAACCTTTAAACATTTATTAACATTTACACGCATTGTCATGAATACATTATATGAACTGTTAATCTGTTTCTCTGTCAGTCTCTGCAGATGGTGAGCGGTCTGCTGAGTGTTGGAGTTGGAATTGTTTTTGCAGTAACCCAAGACATGCAGGAGTCTCTGATCAATCTGTTCAGACTTTCCCACCTGACTGGAGCCCTTGTAAGTGTCTTGTTCTATTTTGACACATCCTTCAACAAGAAGTAAATCAGATACAACTGTACAGTCTTGTTGAATTACTTAAAAATGTGCCTTCTTCTCCTTCAGTTCATCATTGCTGGAGTTGTCTCCAACCTGATTTTCAAATATCCAGAATTGCTACCTGTGAGTACAACTCAGTACAAGCTAAATATGCAACATTTAAAGCTAAGCAGTTACAGTCAAATAACGTATGTCTTCTGATCCAGGTGTCCCTCATGGTTAACTCGGGCTGTATTATTGTAGCCGTGGTTTCAGCTGGTCTGATAAGTGTGGACCTGGCTCTCTGGAGAACAGAACATGAGAAGCATTTGAGGGTAAGACCATGTAAAGAATATAACTAAATGAAACACTGAAATTTGCATTTATTCGCCGATATAAAACTTCATTATCTTGATGCTTCTAGATGGAGGTGCTGGAACTTTGTGTGTTGGCACTCGAGGTTTTACTCTCTACAATCCTTTGCATCTGGTTCTCTAAAGAGAAACGGGCCAAATCAACATCAAGCTGAAGAAGAAGACATTTGAGAACTTCATAATTCAAATCAACTATTTGGATAGGACAAGAAGGTTGTATATTAGTGCTGAATAAAATGTAGGCCACTGTATTAGCAGTTCTTTTTGTTGTTTTGTACATACTGTGTGGCTTTCTGTTCTGTTGCCTGTATTGGAGCAAGGGGCTGTGGTCTGCTTCTGATGTCTCACTTACACGAGGACACAAGAATTGTGGTCAATGAATGTCACCTACTCTCATGTGAAGAAAAAAACCCTCCTCATCCTCCTGCGTCTCTGTGTGTAACGGTAGTATTGGTCTATCTGCAAGGGTCTGTGTGTGTGGTTTGACGCTCGTGCTTTATTATCAGTGGAAATATCTGCAAGGTGTTTTTTTTCAGTGCGCTCACACTTCCAGCTGCTTTCACACAATCTATAGGATATGTGAGTAGGAAATATGCAATAACGTGTCAGACTTAACTGGGTTAAAACAGAAACACAACATTTTGTTTTTGAACATTTTAATCACCTGTACAAACTTTTCATAACACAGGACTGGCAACAAAATAAAAGAAACATGACAGTTAAACAGATTGATCTGCCTGCTATTTTTTTTGTAAAACACATAAAAAAACTCATCTACAATATAAACATTGATTCTTAACTAGTCTTTTTAAAACAAATGTACAGACCACAGAAGTACCATCATGGTATTGTATACTATGTGTCAAAATATCCAATATACAGAGAATTACAATGAAATGTCATAAAATAGTTGAGCTTCATCCATTAAAGGCGTAGTGCTTTGAAGCTGGACTCCTCTCGTCTCCATCTCTATGTCCTGATAAACCGCTGAGACGTCAGAAGTATTCAGTCTGAAGACTTCACAGCTACAGAGAAAAGGAAAACACAAGAAAACACATTTAGAAAAACATTTAGTCTACACATGATGCACTCTGAACGATTTTACTTGAGACAACATGCACGATTAAGAACACATTATAATATTCATTTAAGGTTTTTCCTACTTGTTTAAACAGTTTGAGTCCATAACATTGATATGACTTTAAACTGAAATGTTTATGAATAGATTACCGTGCTATTTACAATTTAAATGACGTTGACAAATGACCACACCACGGTATGGAGCAGAAGCATATCTAAATGCATTACAAAAAAAAACCTAAACCTTTTTCAAAACACATACTACTTTGCTCAAAGATTTTACTTGATACAACATTCCAAAAAATAACAATAATACTATTTAAATTAGTTTATTCCTATTTATTTAAAATGTTTAATTCAACAACATTGATATGACTTTAAGCTAAGGTTTTCATGACGAGAGGAAATGACACTGACTAATTACTTTGACCAGTGAATGGAGCACAATGTTTATTAAAAAGTAACACATGTAAAATATGCAGCAGGGATTTTTTTTAGTTGAAGCATATCTTAATGCATCAAAAATAAATAAATAAATGCTTTAACCTTTCCAAAACATGAAAAGAAGCAAACACGGCTGTTTTTTTAACGTCAACATTGTTAAGAGTCCCATACGTACGTCTGTATTTAGGTCTACTTTTGGATCCTACATGTTAAGTTGATCATACATTTAAAGCAATATATAAATATGGGGTATAATAAAATAATACATTTAGATTTTGAGGGTCTTATTGACATAAATCCTACAACAAAAGGCAACACTATTTTACATGTATTTATGTATTTATTCCACATTAATTCTCTTAAAATAATTACAGATAATGCTGTTCAGGCATTTCATACAAACTCCAGGTTGTGCTGGTGATATTTGCATTGTAATATTTGATGTATTAATTATTTTACTGTATAGTGTCTGTTTTGGAATTAAATACAATAAAAGCTTAACATTAGAAACAAATTATAATAACAAATTATGTACATAAAAACAAAAAAAGCATGAATGCATTCCAAAGCCCCAAAACAAAAAGGTAACCGAGCATGCGTGTGTTCAAACAAACATAAAACTCTCAACACAAATGTCACCATCATGTCAAACGGATGCAGAAGGAAAAGAGAGGATGAGAAAGAGGCAGGAGT